TGATTTATTGCAAGAATGGGCTACATGACACCCTTGCAAAAGTATTCTAAACTGTATAAAAAAAATTGAAATCAATTGTGAAAATCCATTCCTTATATAGGACGGTCTCTCCTGTTGATTGATAGAAATGTTCCAGAAGTAGTAAAGAATTTTCTAGAAAATTATGCTGAAGTTCATGGTTTGCCAAGCCCAGGGAGAAGTATCAATAGAATAACTCAATCAGTTACAGTCTTACTAGCTGAAATGAGTCATAAATCTGTGCACAGGTATTTTCTGACTAGTCTAGAAGAAGATAGCAAATTGAAATCTTTGAAGTATGATGCCTTCAGAAAATTATGACATCAATTAACACCAGAAATTCAAATTATGAGTCCAAGAACTGACTTGTGTGATACTTGTCAACATTTTTGAGATGGCTTACATTACAATGCTTGCCAATAAGAAGCTAAAGATTTGCTCAAAAGGTTTAAGTAACATCTGTATAAAGCCAAAGTATAATAAAAATACAAAATTAGCAGAAGAGCAAAGAAAATTAGTTAATCAACATTATTCAAAGAGTAAAACACAATATTGCAGTATTGATGCCACTGCTCATTATAGTTATGATTGAGCCCAAAATGTTCATGTATCAACAAGTAAATAAAATCTACCACCTTAGTCATGTAAAATTCATTTATTTGATATTCAAGATAAAGCAGTAAGAGAACAAATTGATTTATGTTCTTAATGAAAATGAAAATGAACTCTGAATGATTTTTGATGGAATTAAGAAATTGAACAAAGGAGAAAAACATTTAAAGATTACTTGTGATAATGCTGGTGGACAAATAAAAATAATGTAACAATTTGATTTTATTTATATTTGGTAATTTGTAGTTATTACAAAAGTATTGAATTAAATTTCATGGTTCCAGGACATACCAAATTTAAATGTGATGGTAGTTTTTGCATCTATAGAAAAACAAGATTGTCTGGATCATGTGATTGAAATGATAAAAAAGTCTAGTCCAGCTGGATTAAATAAAGCCCAATGTTACGAAGGCGAAAAAGGTTTTCAATACTTAGATATTAAAGCTATTTTGGGAATTTATTTTAAGAAATTACCAAGTATACAGAAATATCAACATTTTTTTTTTTGAAGCAACTAATCTTGGTGTGGTCAAAGCTCAGGAAATTGTTAATGGACCTTTTGTTGAATTCAATTTATTTAAAACCAAGAAAGGTGATATTTTTGAAGAAATTGAAGCTTTATCTATTTTAGTGTTAACACCACCCCCTTTGGATTACAAAAGACAAGAATACCTTTATAATAATATTCATCCATTTGTGAAAGATAAATACAAAGATATTACTTGCCCAAGCCAGCATAAAATGTAATTGAATAAGTTTTATACTAAGTAAAAAAGAGTTAGATGTCATAATCAACTTTTATTTTTCCTAACCTTATTACCTTAATAACTGAAATAACTAGAAAAGAAGCAAGTGTTCTGCAACCAACCATTTTTTCTTGTTTGCTCTTGTTATGTTGATTTTCTAATTGAGCTTAGGGAGTTTTATTCCATTTTTTATAGTAAGCCTTAGGATCTCTTAGTTTTTCTGCAATTCTTTCATTCTCCATGGTGCCAACAAATTTACCATCTTTATTAAGTGGTCTTCCTTCTCCACAGTTTTTGTCTCATCATTTTTGCAGTTTGAATTTAGAAAACAACACAAAAACAATATTATATTTTTTCGCTCCCTTTTCTATATAGTTCATCTACATCAGTGAAGTTTTCTCCATAATTCTTTCTCCATTGAGATGTTAGTGTTTATGAAGACAGTAAAAATCATGTTTGCTCATGATGTACTAATCATTAGAAAGAAATTAAAAAAGGTGAGCAAGATAAACACTTTACCTGAAAAGAAAATATTACTGCAAATTATGCTTGTGAAAGTTCAGGAAATGAAGAAGCTTGTCTTGGCTGTGACAGTGTGATTCTTCACAAAAAGAATTTATATAATTGCTATGTATCAGACTTAGGAGGAGGAGCTTTTTTACTTTTGTTAATATCTGCCCAAATAGTAAAGCTCATTGTGTGATGTCAAGCAAAGAGCATTCGTAACATGTCTATCCAACAATGAAATGACAAAAATGACAGTAAATGAGTTTTCTGAATTTGATAAAAAACTAAACGAACTGCTTGAAAGAAAACCACCTGGGACTAGTGCCTCAAAAATAAAAGATCTAACTAAGATAGCTTTGAATAGCCCAAAGGTATGAAAATTTTATTTTCTTTAGATTAAAATATATTATCCGAGAAATTCGAGTTCGTTCATCAGAGTTGGGCGTAAATTTAAAATTAGAATCAATGTTATTTAACTGTATTTAAAATATCATTATTCATAATAACAACAACAATAGTAGTAGATTCTTCTTTAAGAATCATTAATTATATAATATATTCGTTCGAAAAAAAAAGAAAAATTTTTTTTACAATTCATATTATAATTTACAGCAATACAAAAATATTGTTCACAGTATACAGAAGTTTATTCAAAGATGCCCATCTGATTATAAATTGGGAGCATTATATGTGTTGGATTCAATATCGCAAACGGCTCAAAAACAAAAAGGACCAGCAAAGACAAAAAATAGTGAGGACATCTCATCAATTACATCTACAACTTCTTCATCTTCTTCTTCATGGACAGGTGCCGAATATCTTGATAGATTTGAGAAATTAATGCAATGTCCAGAACATGACAAGGTATGATTTCGACGTTATATTTTTGCTGGATCTATTATTATGATTATTATGATTTTTTTTTTTAAAAAAAAAGATTGATTTAGAGAAGATGATTATGGCTATAATAATATTATTATTATTAAGAGGATAGATAGAACTTTATAGAATTTCTTTATTTGTTGAGTGGA